TTTAAAGAGTAACAATCTAATTTTTCATAAAAAATACGATATCATTGGAAGATTGAGAAATGCTCATTCTTAAAAATGATTTTGAGTGTGATTGTACTTTTTATTAATCAAATAATTAATTTTGATTTTGAAGTAATCTTAGATTTGTAGAGAGTAGCAAAGTGCAACACAATAATCATCTATTTTCCTTGCCCTGCTCTTCTGATATTGAGAACTTATATAATCATTATAATATGAAAATCTTACATAATCATTGCAAAATTCTTGCAACTTGTACATTAAATGCAGAAGTTATACCAACTCCACTAATTTTTAAAATTGATATACTTTTTATATTCCAGAAGCCCATCTTGCACTTATTTTCTTACAATTCATGACAGTGCCTTATTCTTTGCATTTCTCATGACACTGGCACTTTTGAAGAACATTACTCAATTAATTTCACATAGGTGCATTGTTTTCTTTTATAAGTGACCAAATAAAATGATAGAAAACTGGTGCGCCTCCAGTGGGCACATAAATAATCCATATCCTGGGAACTTTCAAAAGCAAATGACTAAAATCATACATTTCTAGATTATCTAGATCAGGAGTATCTTCTCTCACAAGGGATTAACTTGCAAAGAGATTGGAAGGCCATCGGGCTTCCTAATGTATTCAGTGGTGCATTTAGCAGAATATTTGCTGGAAGATCAGAAAACTAGTGAACGTGTGCATTTAAATTCAACGTTTCAGTACTGATCTTAATGGAACAATGTGCAATCTGCTTCTGAGACTAAATACAGTAATTAAAATGATCAGAGGATAATTCTTTCACTTGGAAAGAAGTATTAAAATGAGTATGGATATAAACATGTTTGCATGTTCAGAGAATGATCTATCTTGTTAGATTTATTACTCAAAAATAAGTGGTAACATTATTAAATCGATTATCCCTATAAGAAAACCGATATATTCATATATAGGTAGTTATATGTATGTAGTTATGTAATTATAATGGTGACATATAGAGAACTTTCACTAAAATCTCAGAATCCTATTATTGGTGAGATAGGTATGATGATCTACTTTATACCATATATACTTGATTATAAGCCAACCCGAATATCTGCTGAGGCTCCTAATTTTACCACAAAAACTGCATTAAAAATGTGCTGAAAAACTCATCTTATACATAAGCATATATGGTATATAAAAAATAGAATAGCCATGAAGTGTATCAATAATATACCAGCAAGAAAAGTATCCTACAGACTACATTGTATTACAAAACTATTTCTAGGGAAATTCCCCATGACCAACAATAGTAAATTATCCACCCATCCTTTATCCAATGTGTATTTAAATTTTTTTAAAGTTTAAAATAACCTAAAAATTAGAATAAACTTTCTTTCTGGCCTGAAATAAGTAAAACTGTTTCCTGAAGGAGTCTATTTGCCTGGTAACAAAC